CAAAAAACAATTTTCCCAAGTCAATTTAAGGAAATTAGTTCGATTGCGCGATTGCGAAAAAGCGTCCATAAATTAATAAATTAGAAGCAATTGGAAAGCGAGATATTTATTTATTTTTTCGTATTTATTTATTGCGATTGTCAATTGCCAGGCGACATGCACTTTCCCGCGAACTGGGAGCACTTCAAAGATACGGATACTCCTCGACTTAATCAGTTGCGCTTTTTGCTATACGCCACTTACTTAGCACGTGCCGATTTCTGCGGACACTGTTTAACTTTACGATCGAAGAACTAATATATATCGATGTCTTTTGGTAATTGGTATTTGGTCAAAACACACTCGAAAGTGCCGAGAGACGACTGCTGCCGGCGAGTGCGCGATCTCAACTGGACAGCCATCGCCTCGACGGCTGCGACGACAGCTCGGTTTCAGATCTTGACACTCGGGTCTTGGGTTTTCGAATTGCAGGCTGATCGACATCAGTTATATATATGTATGTATATAAGTGTGTGTATATGGATGGAGGCTATAAACACGATCGTATAATTTAATCGGGGCTCCCCCTGGCAACTGCTTGCGTCCGAGCTAAAGACTCATTCCTGGGACTATCCTGGGGACTGAAAGTAACACTAGTTGACTCGGGCTTAGTTTTAAATTTCATTTCATTTTTAAATAATTTAATAATACATTTAATTATTAATTTACAAAAAACCTAAGTATTGATCAACATTTTTTTAAAGGTATTAATTCTAAAATCACTATTTTTTTATATTTTCTATTTGCTGAAAGAGTCTTATAAATATTATTAGGATTATTATTATTATTATTTAGTTCTCAATGAGACTCATTTAGTCATATTACTATTATTTTAAGTAATAAAATGTAATAAAATGCGATGATTAATTTGAGTTTTGGAGTTTTATTAATATTATTATATCGTTCTATCAGCACAATTATTGAATGTTATTAATATTCAGTTCAGTTTTTCTAAGCTTTCATGAATATCTCGATAAACGTTGAAAATGTTCTTTAACAAGATTGGGACAGAATTGTGTACTGTTAGTTAGGTAATTATTTAAAATAAATTAATATTTATTCAAGTTTATTAGATATTTAGTTGTGTATATATTTAATAACGCATTAAACATTTTATTTGAAATTTTTAGGTCAGAACTAACAGAACTAACCATAGCATAGCATAAGTCACTCAAGCAACCCGTAATCTTTACTTTTGGTCATATTCTTAGTTTATACACCTAGTTGTTAATTTTTTAACACTTATTTGTATTTAAAAGCTTTTTATCTTGTTGATCAGTGTCGTTGTCTGTAGATGTTTTAGCTCATGCAGATTAGCCAGATTAGATAGTCAAGGCAGATCAATTCGGCGTTACGCCAGCGCTTATCAGTCTCTCATAACCAGTATTTGTCTAGACTCGACACGTATCGGCGGTATCTGTTATTGTTTTGGCTCTGTTGTTTTTTTTTCCCCCGAGAGGTGTAGAACCAAGATGTTTAAGCCAGGCCAAGATGCATGGCCGGCATTACACATGCGCGCATGGTTTTCCCCGTTGGTTTTTTAAGCAGAATTCATAAGATTCCCCGAGATTAACCGAGAAGAAATCTGTATCTGTATCGCGTGCGAGGTGAGTGATTCATCCGCTCGCTGGAGCTCAGGTGTGCGGTGGAATACCTGTGCGAAATAAGAGCGCGGAGGCATTCCCAGCGCCGCCTTTCCCAACGAGGAACGAGGAACCGCCGCGACTTCCCCAATCCAAACCGATCTGAGCGATTTCTAATTATAATCAATCTGCGATTGTTTATGCGTATTATTTCACCATTTCTGTCCACCGAATGAATAAGCAAAACTGCAAAATTTTCCAAGAGGAACCACTCTGGGCAATCTAATCGGGCTTTTGGGACATGTAAGCACTCTTATTGGCAGCAATCAAACAAATGAGAGTACCAATAAAATGAAATATACCCTTCTAATATTTGTGGTGTATCAAAACAGCAAACATTCCCTAAGCCGATTGTGTGTATTTTTAGGTGTATTTCGCCAGGGCAGATAAGTCAAATTGTGGCCAATTTAGACAAGGATCCGCAAACAGATTATTCTAGCATTGGTCTAGGCGATTATTATACCATCTGGTTAGTGGTGAAATAATCGTCCAGACTCTCGAAATGAATGAATTAAGGCTCTCCCGGTTACGGACCTAGGTTCAAGTTTTTTGATTATCTGAATTTTTTATTCTAACACCTCGTGCATATTTATAGACGTGGGAAATAAATCGGACTATATCATATAACAACAATCGAGTGCGAACGTGAAGTGCTTTTGTTTGCACTTTTAATTTTATTTTGGTAATCAGCTGTTGGACAAGAGTTGACTTTTGGTTTTGTTTCATTCCAAACCATTAAAATTAAATGCGACCCCAATATTTCATATCAGCATTATACATATATTCTTGTCTGCGACTATATATGCCGAGATTAATTTATAAAGATTCTGGAAGTTCTTTAAGGTTTTTAACCTGGATTTGCCTTTTTAAAATTCAATAAAGTAAAAGAAAGGTATTCGTGTTATATAAAAAAGAAATAATTAACTTATATTTCAACTGGTTTTGAGGTTAACATATAAGAACTAAAATGTAATTATAAGAATTGAGTTGTATTACAACTCTTAGATTATTTTTATTTTGTTTAAAGTTTTCGGACTGATTATTATATTAAATTGGAAACTATGAGATAAAAAAAGTCACACAAAGGAAATAATACTACAAATACTAGAAAAAAATTGGGAAAATTGAAAAAAACTAAAAATCTATATTAAACATGAAAGGGAACTTGAAGTTTACAATCGAATTATAGGATCGTATCGGAAATGGAGCATAACTAACTTTAAAATAGTCGTATTCTCTGAATCAATATTTATCGATATTTTTACATATATTTAAATTAATCCGACAAATTAATGTAAAAAAAAAACTTATAACAAAGGGGAAAAACATTAATTTTAATTCGGAAATCTTTCGTATAATCGAGTTTATTGGCTCGACACTATATTATTTACAATGAATAAAGTGTAGAAGTACTCCAATGTAAACCATAATTTATATATGTTCTACATATCCGAAATAAATATATAAAACACAACCAATTTATTTAAAATATTCAAATTCTGGTTAAAAAACATAAGCAAAATCAACTAATACAACAATATAAAATGTAAAATCAACCAAATTGAATATATTTTCGTAAATAAGACACAAATTAACTAAGTACCTTTTGTTAATAATATTATTGTTGAAATGTCAATTTATTTAATTATTATGTGGGAAACCAATTTTGTCAGTGCATTTAAAGAAAACAAACTGGGACGCTGTCGGCTGATATATTTACTCTTACCTACTCTATCTTCTTTTCCCTCTCTCTATCACTCTCTCTCTCTCTCTCTTTAACCCTTGTTGACGTCGAAGAAAAACCAGAATTTGTATAAATAAGTCGCAATCTCTGAACAACGTTCACTGTTGACCAATAACGGGTAGTTGTGGGATATGCCGGTTTCTATTCATTCGGAAACTGCGTCTGGGTTCAAGGAATTCCCAACATACGACAGACTTCTTGCTGGGAATATGACGACGAAGTCGTCATTAATTCCGGACATTGAGCTACCGCAGTTTATAACCAAAAGTACGTGATACCATTTTTATATTGGCCTTAAACCCTTGCGGCCACTAATCAGTTGGCCAGCGTTTGTTAATTGTAATTTGTGGGCCAAAAGCGGAAGAAAACAGTGTGGTTTATGGGTTTTGCATATATGAAATCAGGTAGATTTTACGTTTATGACTGACTTTATGCGTGAAACTACATATATATTTTAAAATTGTATCAAAGAACATTAGAAGCTTTGAAGACTTCTTGACACAGAGGTGCGTACTTCACAAATTTGAACAGCGATAATAAGGCTTTAATCGATAACCTACCTAAAGTTAGGGTTGTCATTGTTAATAATAGTATTTTTTTATAGTAAACACTATATTAATATGAACTTAATTAATGTTTGGTAGTTGTTGAGTCCATATAAATGTTGTGCTAATATTTATCTGCATATACACACATTGATGTAATAAAACTTACAATGGAAAAAGTGCAAATCATCTTCTTATCTAAGATTATCTTAAAGGTGTTTATCATCAGTCAAAACAAAAACAATTTATAAAATCTGGACAAAAGTCATTTAATAATTTACACAATATGAATAGCTTAGCTGGCAGTGCTACATAAATAAACTGACAGCATTGGAAATAGTAAACAAAAGTATAAAATCAAACAAATGTAAAACGAAAGGAAATTGGTAACTGAATATATTCATATAATTTGGTTATTCATTAAATCATAAAAAAATTGTAAATTTCAAAACAATTTAATTACTAGAAAAGCTTGCAACTTTAAACTGGTTATAACTTTATTAACTTATTACCTAAAAATTTAAAATTGTATACACTTATTTTGAACACCTTTTATACGTTTTTAAAAACTCTTGGGATTTATATAGCACCCGCAATAGATATAATCATCTAAAAATATTTCCATAGAAATGTATAAGGATATTAACTTTATGGCAATATAATATCCTAAAGTGAAACAAATAAAAACATCTTGAATATAGACATTATTTTTCATTATTTGGATTTATTAAAACAATTGTATATTTGTATGTTTATATTATAAAAATTGTGTCATTAAATAAGTGTACATAAATATAATAAGTACATAAATAACTCACTTGTAAATAAGGATTATAAATCTCTGAAATGGGAGTTTAAATTAAGGTTCAGGTTTATCAGAGGTAGCTTCGCTTGGACAGGTATAATCAAATATATATGTAGGTTATATTCAAACAATTAAAAAGTACATTGGTTTTAGCGTAAACTTGGATAAAATATCTTAAATGAGGAAAGCTTTTATCATTTTAAATGACTTCAATTTTTGATTTTCCAATATTATTATAAATAAAATAAATAAATGTTGGATATAATGGCGTTGAAGGAAGAATAAGTAGAGTAAAGCCTCCGGTATTTACATTTTAGAGGGAATCGGACTAGATTAATTAATTTATTGATATATCCTTGGTTTTTTAGCTGCTTCTCAGTAGTATCGGATCGAAGATGAATATGATTTATTCAAGGCTGCCATAGAAATGTCTTTGAATTACAAGCAGTCCAAAAGTATGCAACGAAATGGTGAAAGATCTGAAAATTAATTAATTTAATATTATTCACAATAAATAGAATAATAAAAAAAACAAATAAAGGCTTACCTTCGTACTCAATTTCCAATGATTTCAAATCCTCAGCATTTCTCTTCCCCTCCCTTCTCTTAGTAGACCAACCGAATGGCCTGCTGTCCGTGGAAGATGTCACTCCTCACCAGCACCTCGTAGCTACTCAGCCGGATCTCCTGTCCTCCGAAAGGGATCTGCAGACAACGATTGGATTGCTCAATCACGCCCGGGGTCAGGGATCCGCAGTAGTGACCCCGGCCAATGTACAGTGGCTCCCCGCTAGGTGTGCGTCCCGCAATGACGGCTCCTGGGGCCACGTTTCCGCCATAGGCAGGCACCCAATGGTACTTTCCCTGGCCCACCAGCACCTGGTAGGAGGGCTCCACAATCTCCCGGCCACCGTGGGCTATGTAGGCGCATCCCTGGCTGGGAATGGCCTTGCCGGGGACATGGACTCCACGGTAATAGGCGCGGCACACCAGCAACTGGGACATGTTGCTGTCATGACCTCCAACGACTGCATCCGGGTTGTAGTAGTAACCAGGCTCCGCGGAAACCCACACGTCGTAGTTGTTGCCGTAACCATAGCCACCGTAAGCCGACGGAGCAGCGTATTCAGCGGGAGTGTAAGAGGAGCAACTGGCTCCGTAGGGATCGTAGGTGGAGGCGGGCGTAAAGGATGATCCCACGGCGGGCACTGATATGGCAGTTACAGACACCTCGGCGGGGTTGAACGTAGGGGGTGGCGGGGCAGTGCTCACCTCCGCTGGGATGAAAGTTGCCTTGGGCGGCGGAGGGGGTGGCATCACCAGGACACCACCAACTGGCGGAGTAGGCGGTGGTGGTGGAGCTCCAGGCATGACCATCACTCCCCCCACCGGAGGCAGCGGATCGGGTGTGGGCGTGTAAGCCGGCGGTCTGTCGGTCATGGGAAATGGCATCGCCGCCATGTCCGGATAGGGATACGGCTTGGCGGCCAGCACAGGAGCTGGCGGCGATGGCGGAGGCGGTGGGGTCAGTGGACACTTCTCCGCTTCCTCCAGTGGCGGAGGAGGCGGTGGCAGCTGCCAGCCCGGAACCACACGGCGTTCTTCTACCAGAATCTCATAGGAATCCAGGCGACGCTCGGCACCGCGAAAGGCAATGAACAGCGCTCGGTGCACAGAGGAGATCTTGCCGATGATCAGGTGACCCTCGTAGTGACCCCGTCCTATGTACACCGGCTGGTCCAGGGAGGTGCGTCCGCAGAGTACTGCATTCTCGGGTATCACATGGTCGTAGCACTTGATCCACACCAGATTCTGGCCACATAGCACCTCGAAAATGTCCTTTGGCAGGGCCTCGCCGCGCTGTGAGATGAATCCAAGCTGCTTTGAGGGCACCACCTTGCACACCAACATGTCGCCCTCGTGCTCCGCTCTGCCCACGTAGATCATGGCGCCATCCTCATCGTTGCCACCGACCACTGCTTCCTCGGGAATGGAGGAGTAGGCCGAGGATTGCACCCACTTGTAGGCTGTAAGAGGAGAAACAGAGGTTAGTTATTGGAGCTTAAATGGGTTTAAAACAAATAAAATAAAGACTTTTTGGGATTTTTGGAAAGCAAAAGTGATACGTTTTTATATTAAAAAGAAAACAGCTACAAGTTTGGGCTTTCAAGATGGTGAGAGGTTTTGCCGTAGTGTTTTTTTAAAGGTTTTTAGGAAGTAAAACCTTGTTTTTTAATTCAAAGAATAAAGGAAGGCAGATTCATTTGAATTTCTTAAAAAGGGATTAAAGATTTATTTGGGGGTTCTTAAATAAAAAGAAACATTCTTTTGTTTGTTTTAAATTTGAAAATATTTTTCTTTTAGTTGTTAAGAAAGAAAGTATATATTTTTGGGCCTTAAGAAAGAAAGAGAGATGTTTTTAATAAGTTGTGATTTTTTTATGTTTTGAACAAGTGAAAACATATAGATTTTAATAGGATTTTTTCAATGGATTTAATTTTTTTTTTTATAAGAAAGGGAAGTTAGATAGTTTTACAATTTTTGAGAAAGAATAGGAATTTCGTTTTTTTGCTTTAGTTATATGAACATATAAACGTTAAAGTCCCTAAGAAGAAACAGAAGTTTGAGTGTTTTTTTTTAATGGGTTGGTCTTTAAGGATTGGTTTATTAAGGGTGGATTTTTGTTACAGGCTGTTGTGTTAAAGCTCCTTTTTTCAAAATCTATGTCAATCTATTTAAAAATACAATTAGTTGTTCACTTCTAAGCGCGTTAAAATTGTTTTTCCTTGAAATTTTTAGATTTAGTGCTAAGTAGTACACCTCTTATAAGAAATTCCTTATCTGGCCTCATATATTTTATAGCATTTATAGACATAAGAACACGTTTTAGATTTAATACCAACTGAAGTACAGATAGTAAGTGTTATTTCTACGATGTATAAAAACAAGAAATAACAAGAAACTTAATGCGTGCTATATATGTAGGAGTTGAATTCCTAAAGAGTATATCTTTAACAAGTTTATAATAGAAAACTATGTATATGTATTACGAATATTACATCTAAATTTCCCTTAAAAACCCATAAAGTATTAAGAATTAATATGTAATTTCTTGGTGGTTAACAGTCAGTTTTATTTTGATTGATCTGGGATTTACAGGGTTTGATCTGGGCTAAATGCATTTACTTCTTTTTAAGGAGCTTCCACTAAGGTGTCCTACTGCCGGCAGAGCACCTCGTAGGAGGAGAGACGGATCTCTCGGCCACCGTAGGGAATGTAGAGGCAACGCTGGCTAGCCGAGATCAGGCCAGGAGTAAGACTACCCTGGTAGTGTCCACGTCCAAAGTAGATGGGTTCGCCGTTGCGGGTGCGACCCGTGGACACGGCATTCGGTGGCAGATGATGGCCAGCATGGGCCCACACATAGCCATAACCGGTGAGCACCTCGTAGCTGGGCTTCTGGAACTCGTAGCCGCCGAAGCAGACGTAGGCACAACCCTTGCTGGGAATCACCTTGGCGGGCAGCATCTCACCCTCGTGCATCGCCCGTCCGGCGTAGATGGGCGTCCGGTCGGAGTCGTGTCCGGCCACCACAGCTCCTGGCGGTGTGTAGCTGGGCGAGGCCGCCACCCACACATCCTGCTGCTGATGGATGAGCACCTCGTAGGTGTTGATCCTGACCTCCTGGCCGCCGAAGGGAATGTACAGGCAGCCGTGCGAGGGATGCACCTTGCCCACCGTCAGGCTGCCGGCATGATGGCCGCGTCCCACGTAGAGGGGCTCCCCGGTGCGAGTGTTGCCACTGCGCACCGCATTCGGTGGCACTCCGCCACTGGCACTGGGCACCCAGGCAAAGCCCTGACCCACCAGCACCTCGTAGTGGGTCTTCGTGTGCTCGGTGCCGCCGTAGGCCACATAGGCACAGCCCTTGCTGGGAATCACCTTGGCGGGCAGGTTCTCACCCTCGTGGAAGGATCGGCCCACATAGATGGGCGAGCGGTCCGCGTCATGGCCACCGATCACCGCATATGGAGGCAGGGGCGAGCGAGGAGACGAGTGCACCCAGGTGTGTTCTGCAAGGAGAGAGGACCAGAGGCGGTGAGGCGATAGCTAGGCAATGGCACGCGATAAGATAGCCTAACTTAATTACACAGAGAGAAAAAGCTGAAAGTGTCACTCAATAGCACTAAATATTTGATCAAAAGAAAGTCAAGATCAAGATATTTAATATCCTTAAGATGTGGATTCTCTTGCTTTTTCTCTCTGTTTAGATATATTCTATGTATTTTGCTTGCTGTTCGATTCGTGGGGGATTTTCGGGGTCTGGGTTCGGGGTTCTGGGTTCAAGTGGGATTTTTTGAGGTTTACTCAGAGGCGTAGGGCTGTCACCCTGGGCTCACTGCACTCGTCCTACCAATGGTCACAACTGCTCCTGACTGCACATTGCCTGGAAGAGTGCAAAGAAAGGCGGAGAAACGTAAAAGTCACTCAAGGCTCTTTGCATTAAAATATACGAAATCCAAGGATAATAACCAAGAATTTAGTATCTTTTTATAAGATATTGTTTAAGATATTGTTGAAATATCAGAGAATAGTATTGTAAACATAGAATTCTTGGAAAATATGTATATTCTTTCCAAAGATAAATTTTATGTGTCTAAAAAGCAAGCTGTAAAATGTGTTTACAACTCTTATCACAATAAATATAAAACATAATATGCCTCAAGAATTGAAAATAAATTCATTTTTGACACCAGAAATATTATTGGAAAACTCTAGAGGCTTCTTATTTTCATTATGAAAGATATTTTCACACCGAACGATATAATTTTTTGCAACAATCGATCGAATAACTTGCAGCGCTTACTCATCCCACTTACCCATTGTGTGTAATTTGTTGATAAGCGGTTATTCCTTCTGATAAATAAATAAATTTCCCTCCAACACGTAGGCGTAGATATTCCTCTTAGTTGTTTCCCTCAGGCGACTGCACAGATTGAGGTTCGCAATTTCACTGAAGAGTTGCTGAGTAAAAGCAGAGCGTTAAAAGCCTGATGTGTCAACCTTATCGACGAGCTTTTATCTATCAATACCAACCATGTTATATTTGTATATTTATATAGATTTGTATGGAAAACAAGTGCTATTGATATTGAGCAATATATCTCTGTTTTTTTCACTTCCAGAGAAAGCTCCAGTCGTTCCATTAAAGCCTTTCCTTTATCAGCTGGGCCATGAGTCATTATCGCGATCCAGTCGGTACTTTTTGGGATAACGAAAGCACTGAACAGGTGGGCATTGTTACAGGCGATACTGCTTTTGTTTTTTTCGGCAATCGAAAGGTGGAACTCCATTGAAATGAACCCATAAACCTTATGACGTGTACCAGAAGCCTTTAATGGTAAAAATCCCCTCTTTGCGGTTCGATAAGATGCACTAACTTTGGCGAAAGCTATTAAGATTTCAAAAACAGAAAAATCAAGGGGGTCCAAAGGATTTTGAGAGAAAATATCGATTATATACAATGATACTTAAGAAAAAAAGAATACAAACTTCAATGGATACCTCTAGTGATTTTAAGACAAATTCTTTCGACTAGGGTTCCAGTTGCAAAGTATTTAATAAAAAGATAACTGTTGACATAGAGAAAGTCCCATGAACTTAAAGATTAAAAATATATACATAATTTACTTTAGCTTAAGCTTAAATAAAGGTTAGTGATTGCAAAAATAAAATAAGCAGATGTCAAACCCTTTTCGTAAGTTTAAAGAAAAATGTAACTAAAGAAAGCAGAAGGCAAGAACATGTCATCTTTTTATGGAACTGTATCACTTTCCCAAAAAATCCACATATACATAATTGATATATTTATGTAGCCCTAACTTTAAAATAAAGATGACTCAACTTGTTGTCTTACTTGTTATTGATTGTACTATCGAGCATTAAAGTTATACATAGTAGTTTTTCCCCCATTGACTCATTTCCAAACTCCACACCCATTCTGTTCGAAACCAGCCTTCAAAGTTTCATAATATTAATCATTACATTAGCTGTTCACATGCTTGGTCTTAGTTTTTGTTTTGTTCTAGAAATAATAAATAAATTCCTCAACTTTGAAGTTGATCCATGGACAGCAACACATATACGTGTATATAGGTACTTTTTACGAACTTATTGATCAAGTTTATTTTTGACTGCCGGCCGATAAGATTCGCCGGCAACTGCTGATAGATAAAACCGGGCACAGTTTGTACCAAAGAGTACCTCTCTGCACAAGATCGATTGACTAATGATCGCTGACTCCCTCCCTTCCTGTTAAATAATTTGTTATGAAATTTAAATTGTTTCCACCCATAAATTGACACCTGTCAGTGTCAGACAGTTGCAACCATGACGCAGCTCGCAGACCGGGAAAATAAAGAGGATCCCTGATGGAATATATATATATTTTTTTATGGTGTATGTAGTACTTACAGTCCCAGCAACTGTGACTAAGATATCTTATCAAAGTCGGTTAACACTGCCGACCGATAAGGCGGCTGCACAGCTTTTAAAGACCAACGGCGGTGTGGCTAGGAACCAGTCGTTAACTTCAGGCCGATCAGAGCGGAGCCAGACGGTGTATATTTATAAAAACCTACGTTCCAGACCCAAGTCAGCAAACACACACACACACACAACATGGGAGGTGAGAAAAGTGACGAACGGAGGGTGTGACCCCCACAATTCCTGCGAAAATAGCGGCCAACAACAAGTGGTATCGATAGCAAACACCTGACAGTCGTAATCCCTTGAAGCTTTGGAAGCTTTCCCACAGATCTGGCGATTTTATAGCGGGAATAGATAACAAAACAGACGAGTGTGGGGAGTGATTAATGGGTACAGTTGGGTAAAAAGTGCCTATATGTTGGTGTACTCACTTGAATTAATTCTTTGCTCACTTATAAGTGAACAAGTGAACAACTAAATGAACAACTAAACAAGGAGGCACTCAAATGAACAACAACTAAGCAAGTGAACAAAGCCAGTGAGCCTTTTAATTTATTTTTCCAAAGTAAACAAGTTCATACTATCCTTTGTTTATTTACAAATCTTAAAATGGACCTACTCAATTAACCAAAAATGTTTACTAAAGTAAATAAACTGAAGAGGTTCCATTCAGTAGATAAATTACTGAAGTGAACCTCTTCACTTCACCGAGTATAACTAAATAAAAAAAAATTGTTTTTAACCAATGGAAACTGATTGCCTCTTCCCTTTCTTTATAGATTACCAATGGATTAGCAGCAACGTCTACGGAGGTCTGCCTGGTGGCGCCGTCCTTGGTGGCCATGACTCCGATCAGGATCCCATTTTCGTTGGCCGTGCCTACCACAACGGTGAGATGCTGCCTGCCAAGGTGGTGCCCAACAAGCAGCAGGCTTATGTAGCCTGGGGCGGCGAGGAGATCAGCAAGCACGACTATGAGGTGCTCGTCGGCGATCACTTCTCGTGGATCCCGGCCAGCGGTGGCTTCGTACCGCCGCACTCCCTTCGCGTTGGTCAGACCTCCGACGGCGAGACCCTGTATGTGGGTCGTGGCTACTTCCAGGGCAGCCTGACCCCCGGCAAGGTGCATCCCTCGCACCAGTGCCTGTACATTCCCTACGGCGGACAGGAGGTGAGCAGTGAATCCAAGGATAACCCCTTTGTGAAGCACCTGAAAGACTTGAAGCTTATGCTTTTCTTTTAAATTCCAGCATCGTCTGGAGGCCTATGAGGTGCTGGTCCAGCCAGAGACCTGGATTTCCGCTTCTGGACGCGGTATCATTCCCGGAACTGTGGTCGGCGGCCACGACTGCGATGGCGACCAGATCTATGTTGGTCGCGCCTACCACGAGGGCGACCTTCTCCCGGCCAAGGTGATTCCCAACAAGGGATGCGCCTATGTGCCCTACGGAGGCGGCGAGGTGGTGAAGCACGACTATGAGCTGCTGGCCGGTTACGGTTACGGTTGGGTGCACGACAGCCACGGCAATGTGCCCGGCAATGCCGTCCTCTGCGGCCGCACCTCCGACGGAGAGCCCCTCTTCATCGGCAGGGCCCACCATCACGGCAGCTTGACTCCCGGAAAGATCCACCAGTCGCATCACTGCCTCTACATCCCCTTCGGCGGCGAGGAGGTGCGCCTAGACCACTACGAGGTGCTGGTCAAGGCCTAATCTGTTCCCGTTCGACGTCTGCCCTCTAATTTATAACTCATCAGTCTCAAATAAATTACTCTGTTTTTCATTTGAAGTGATTTTAACTTGGTTTGATGGGTTAAATGGGGGTTCTGAAAGACATATTGGGTAAGAATTAGGAACAACTTTCCGGGTTTTTATATATATTTTATTCCCATAAATAAGCAAACAAATCTATTTTATGCAACTTGATAACAAGGAAATATTTTAATGAACATGTTCATTTTATAAACAATTATTATTATATGATTATATTAAGATTGATGCCACTTCAATTAAACAAATTTTTTTACTTTTTTTGTAAATAATTTAAGTTGACTTAGATATTTAAAATATAGTCGTATACATATTTTCTTTTGAACTTTACACCCTGAGAACCCTTACTAAATAATTGAGTTATTAAAATCCACTTCTTTTAAGTTTGAATTGTCACTTTCCTAATTAGAGTAGTAAGATGGATGAGGTAATTATAGACAGGAGCAATTACAAACAAATTGCATTTAGGACCTTTTTTTTTAGCACTTTTACCAAAAAAAACAATAAAGGAAAGATAGAACTTTGATCACTAGGAATTACTACAATATAAATATAATATTTATATTTTTGTTAAAATGTTATTTATGTAATGTTTTAAAAAAAAAAAACACAAAGTGGTTATATTTTAAATTAAAGAAAATCTGTTGCAAACTGGAAAAGTTATATTTTTTTTTCGAAAAATTTTCCGATCGTTCCTATGGAAGCTATATTATAGTCGTCCGATCTGACTTACATATATACGAATGAAAGTATATATATACATAGAAGACTAACTGAGAGACTAGTTTGCGTAGAAACGGACTGACGGACGAACGGACAAAAAGACATGACTAGACCGACTCGGCTGTTGCTGATCAGGAATATGTATACTTTATATGGTCGTAGATAACTGCGTTTAAAACTTCTGACTGAACTTATAACACCCGGCAAGGGTATAAAAATGTTAAAAATTAAAATATATATTATATTTCAGCATGCAAAAAGTTTGTGGAACACTTTTGTAAAAGCAATCAATAATTGTTTGTTAGTTTTTACTTTACATCTTTGACAAGAGGTTTCCCAGCCTCTTTTAGTGTTAGAATTATATTATTTATGAAATTTTATTCAGAATTTTAAGAATCATTTAAAAATAAATGATTTAATTTTTAACCAAACTGTAATATGTTTGCCTCGACATTCACTTAATATTTCCTTGAAGGGTAAGCACAGGTTGAGGTTTGTATTTCCACCTAAGAGCTGGTGAACAAGGCAAAACGATTGTTAAAAGCTTAATTGCAATGGTTTGTCATCTATCGACCTTATCAATACCCATTTATAAAGCAATATTCATATTATATATATTCACGAGCATTAGATATTTAAAAAATCATAAAACATTTATTTTATGTTTTCTAAACTATACAAAATATAAAAGAATATTATTTATTTTTGATAAATTGTGTTTTTTTATGCATTTTTGTATTCTTTTAACAATGACGATTATTCAAGTAAATAGATAAATATTACCTTTATATGTTTTTTGAAAATGCGTTATAATTGGAACTTCTTGTATCCAATTTCTTGTTTAATTTTTGTACAAAATAAGCTTCAAACCACTGTACATATTGAGTACTTTTTACAAACTGATTAATCAAGTATATATAGCTGATTTCCGGCCGATAAGTTTTGCTGGCCGCTAAAGAAATACAGATAAAACTGCACGAAAGTTTGTATATAAAAGGGAGAAATGTGCAATCGGTGTTTATTAAACATCAAGACATCGGCGGGAGTTAATTTAGCAATCAAGAGCTCTTATTCTTGCACATTCAGGGGCTTCCCTCCAAATAAGTAACAATGAGTAACTCCCTACTTTTAATCCAGCTTACCATGCTGGTGTTGGCCCATGCTACTTTCATTGACCAACTTCTCGATAAAGAATGGCGAGAATTCACCAAGGAGCACCGGAAGAACTATCAGGATGAAGATGTAGAGCAACTCCGTTACATGATCTTCAACGAGAACCGAATCAAGATCACCGAGCACAATCGGCGATTCGCTAATGGGGAGGTGAGCTACAAAATGGCGATCAACGAGTATTCGGACTTGATGAGCCACGAGTTTATCGAAATGATGACCGGCCTCAGTTACAACGAGTACGAGGAGATGATGTAAGTAAACTATGAAGTAAGAGTTGAATGTACTTCTATTCTGAATGTCTGTATTGCCTAGCGCTTTTGAAGAGGGACTGACCTTCATATCACCAGATCACGTGACCTTGCCCAATTCGGTGGACTGGCGTTCCGAGGGAGCTGTGACCGGAGTCAAGAATCAAAAGAGCTGTGGCAGCTGTTGGGCCTTCTCCACCACAGGGTCCTTAGAGGGTCAGCACTTTCGGAAGACTGGAAAGCTGGTCTCTCTCTCGGAACAGAATCTGGTGGACTGCTCGGGATCCTATGGAAACAAAGGCTGCAGCGGTGGTTTCATGACCTGGGCTTTCAAGTACATCAAGGACAATGGCGGCATCGACACCGAGGTGTCGTATCCCTACAAGGCCGTGAATGACAAGTGTAAATTCAACAGGGCTACGATTGGGGCGACCGTTACCGGATTTGTGGTACTACCATCAGGGGACGAGAGGAAGTTGGCTGAGGCTGTGGCCACCATAGGACCCATTTCCGTAGGCATACATGTCGTTGCAGGATCCTTCCAACACTACCACTCGGGGATCTATATCGAGCCCAAATGCAATCCCAAGATAATTAATCACGCTGTCCTGGTCGTTGGCTATGGGTCTGAGGGCGGCAGGGACTTCTGGCTGGTGAAGAACTCCTGGGGAAGCAGTTGGGGCGACAAGGGATACATCAAGATGCTGCGCAATGGAAACAACCAGTGCGGCATATCCTCGCTCGCCTCCTATCCAACAGTTTAAAAACTTAAGTATATATTGGCATTTTCCACTTGGCAAATTCGTACGCTCTCTAACCATAATACAAACTCTTTATATAAGTTTTATGTCGTTTCATTTACTCTAAGCTTGGTGGAAAGTTGTACCTTTCTCGATATTAAATAGGCTTTTTTAGTGGATAAGAACGGAATGCTAAACTCAGCGATTTAAGAAAGAATAATTTAAGCATTGGACGAGTAGTTTTCTTTAAAGTCCAATCTCTCGGTTTTGGAGTTATCTGAATACAGATAATATTCTTTCTACTCTCTTTAGTACAATAGTGGATCAAATCGGACACCTACGTCTGTCTTATCTCTATTATAGAAATGATCTGTAAATGTATTTTTATACCCTTGCAGGGTATTATAATTTCAGTCAGAAGTTTGCAACGCAGTGAAGGAGGCACCTCCGACTATATAAAGTATATATATTCTTGATCAGGATCAACAGCCGAGTCGATCTAGCCATGTCCGTCTGTCCGTCTGTCCGGCTGTCCGTCTGTCCGTCTGTCCTTCTGTCCGTCTGTCCGTCTGTCCGTTTCTACGCAAACTAGTCTCTCAGTTTTGAAGCTATCTAAATGAAACTTTGCAGTTAGTCTTCTATATACTCTCACTCGTATATATGTCGGAACGGGCCGGATCGGACGACTATATCCTATAGCTTCCATAGGAATGATCGGAAAATTTTTACAAAAAAAATTTTAACTTTTTCAGTTTTCAATAGAATTGGCTCAAATTTGAGATATAGCGATTTTACTATACTCTACAATTTTGTATAAAATTTTATGAAAATCGGACTACTATATCATATAGCTCCCATAGGAACGATCGAGAAATTAATACAATTAAATTTATAACTTTTTCAGTTTCCAGCTGATTTTCATCAAATTTGAGGTATAGCCATTTTATATAAGTCTTAAATTTTGTGGCAAATTTCATGAAAATCGGACGACTATATCATATAGGTTCCATACAAACGATCGTTTGATGTAGAGGAAAAATGCAAATCTGTGACTGTAAAATTGCAAATATAATATGTATAGGTGAATGAAATGAAAGCAGGTATTACTTCATTGTTTTTTAACACAAATATATATAATTAATATTGTATGGATTCCTATTCACAGAAGTTCTATCTGCAAGGGTATAAAACTTCGGCGTGCCGAAGTTAGCTTTCTTTCTTGTTATAATTATTATTGTATTAGACATTAGAAGATATATTTAGTTTCATTAAGATTGCTTCAAAACGGACTTACTAGTTTTCGCAGAACCACGGACATCGCTAGATCGACTCGGCTGTTGATGCTGATCAAGAATATATATACTTTAAAGGGTCGGAAATGACTCCTTCACTGCGTTGCAACTTATTGGCTAAGGCATTACTTTATCGAAATTTAAGTACTTTTTAAATTCAGAGAGAACAATAAATATATGTATGTGTTTTTATTGCTAGTGTTTACATGGCATATTTTCATATTCTCATTCGCTGAATAGTCATAAAACCCTTTGTAAGGGTTTGAATTTAAGTGATTATGTTTTTGTGGACAGATACTTCATCTTCTCTTATATAAGTTTATCAAATTATAATGTCTTCTTAACATTTTTTATTAGTTATAAAAGTTCTTAGTCGCAAGCACAAAAGCAATGTATATTTTGTAATTTTAACAAGAAGTACTTATTACATAAATAACAAGTTGCGAATACAAAGAAGGTAATAAGAATTGTAAAATTTTTACGCCGAAATGAGTAATTTGGCATGATGAAAGAAAGCACTGTCAGTAGACCTTCTTTATTTATGACGTTTTAATGGTTACGAACACTCATAACTCTTTCTTGTAAATTAAGCAATTTGGATTACTGAAAACGAAGGAACGCTTATAAAAATCGTAATCATAAGTAGATAAGCATTAATTTAAGCAATTTGTTCGTACCTAGCACGCATATAAAAGGAGGAAGTATTGAATGGGTTTTTATTAAGCATCTAGGCGCCTTCGAGAGTTAAACGTTTCTTCCTTCTCAAAAGACCCAAAATGAGTAAATCCGTAACATTTATCCTGCTGGCCATGCTAGCGCTGGCCTATGCTGCATCCTTTGACCAAGATCTAGACAAAGAGTGGCAAGCCTTCACCAAGGAGCAAGGCAAGACCTATAAGGATGCAACCGAAGAGGAACTCCGCTACAAGATCTTCAACAAGAACAGGATCGAGATCGCGGAGCACAATCGGCGATACGCCAATGGAGAGGTGAGCTTCAAGATGGCGGTCAACGAGTATTCCGACTTGACGAGTAAAGAGTTCAGCGATATGATGACCGGCCTTAGGTACATCGAGTAAGAAAACTCTGATCTAATGAGTGTTAAATGTATATAATCTAGTCTGAGTTTCTCCAGCACATTTGATGAGAACTTAAAGGGACAGGCTTTCATCTCGCCAAAGCACGTAACATTGCCCGATTCGGTGGACTGGCGCTCCAAAGGAGCTGTGACCGGAGTCAAGAATCAAAAGAGATGTGGCAGCTGTTGGGCCTTCTCCACTACAGGGTCCTTAGAGGGTCAGCACTTTCGGAAGACTGGAAAGCTGGTCTCTCTCTCGGAACAGAATCTGGTGGACTGCTCGAGATCCTATGGAAACAAAGGCTGCAGCGGTGGTTTCATGACCTGGGCTTTCAAGTACATCAAGGACAATGGCGGCATCGACACCGAGGAGTCGTATCCCTACAAGGCCGTGAATGACAAGTGTAAATTCAACAGGGCTACGATTGGGGCGACCGTTACCGGATTTGTGGAACTACCATCAGGGGACGAGAGGAAGCTGGCTGAGGCTGTGGCCACCATAGGACCCATTTCCGTAGGCATACATGTCGTTGCAGGATCCTTCCAACACTACCACTCGGGGATCTATATTGAGCCCAAATGCAATCCCAAGATAATTAATCACGCTGTCCTGGTCGTTGGCTATGGCTCTGAGAATGGAAAGGACTTCTGGCTGGTGAAGAACTCCTGGGGAAGCAGTTGGGGCGACAAGGGATACATCAAGATGCTGCGTAATGGAAACAACCAGTGCGGCATATCCTCGCTCTCCAGCTATCCAACTGTTTAAAATATACTATATATTTCAATATTTTATATGCCTGTAATAATTAAATTCAATATAATCATGGTTGTAATAAAATGTAATCAGTTTTAATAAAGAAAGTTTTATTTAAAGGTCAATTATAATTTATACAAAACTCAAGGAAGAAAGTATTTTTCTTACATATTCTTTTAAAAAGGTTTTTGTTGTTTTAATTCCTAATTCGAATTTTAGTACATTTTATACAAATAATATTTTCAAAACAGAAAAAAAGAAAATCCAAAATACATAAAATCGTACTCCTAGCATTATGCTTTATTTTCCGCAGCTTTCGCTGAGCTTTCAGCCGAGTATCTCTACACGGCGTGTAGAATAAAGCAAAATGTAGAAACAGAAACATCAAATGCGGAGCTTCGCATATCTTCTGGTCTCTTCCAACCACCGCAAGCAGACATACCTTCTCTCGCATTCGCTGGTGTTCTCTTCCCCTCACATGCTTTTCCACTCGCTATTCATCGCCATTGGTCGAACTCATTGCTCGTCGGTAGCGCTTCTCTCTGATTGGCTGGCGGGCCGAGAGGCCGCTCCCCAGTCGCAAAGCCCATTGGTCGTCCCCTGTGGCAAGTATACGTGGCCAATACTGTTTCCGGCAAAGACGAAACACGCTCGCCGTTTATGGTTACAATTGAGATATCGTAAATAGGAAAATCTGATCATACTGTGATTAGCTGTTTGGGATTATGTATTACTTTAAATGTTTTATAGCAATAAAAACATGTTTTACAACAGTATTACTCACATTTACCATATTTTCAGAAGTCTGAGATTGAGAAACCGGTTGGCGATGCTCTCTGCGTGTTAGGGCCACAAAATGCCGTCGCTTCTCTGACAAAATCCATTATAACTGGCTCTTATGAAAACCGAAAGGTTGTTAGGGCTCAAGAAAGGGCTAACTTAAAGACGTTTTAACTTCAATAAATGTAATATAAACACCTTGAGACGTAATAAGAGTCTATGAGTAACCTTCTTGTAATGTTGCTCGTAGTTAAAAAACAAAAACTACTATTTATAATTAATATTTTATTATTGTGATTTTAGTTTATTAATTATTAACATATAGCTTTAGTAACTAAAATATATTTAAGAGCTTAGAATAACTGTTTCAATCTAAAAAGATATTTGACTTAGCATTAATATAAATTAAATCAAAATGTCTAACAGATTTGAAGTATTTTTAAAAGGAATTAAGGGAAATATTTTGTTTTATTTCTTAAACTGTTAAAATTAATGAAAGCTTTCCATACGCTAATTATGCACATTTTTGCATTCTTTCAATTAATAACTTTAAACAATATATTTAAAAATATGCATAATTCAATTGGAAAATGGGTTTTAGATTTTTATCTCATAAAAATTTCCTTCTGGGCCTCTGGTATAGCAAAATGTTCCTCTTTTTTAAACAGAGAAAGAGAAATGCAAGTAAATTTCTCATTATCACGCCAAACTAAACTCAATAAAATAATCATTACCTGGTATATTGTTAGATAGGGATGCTTTTTAGCCATACACAATGTCAATTTCAGTGGACTGGACTTTAAAAAGTATAAAACTTTAAGCAATTAATAAAATTCCGAAAAAACTTAAATGAGATAAGACTAAAACATTATTTATGTGGTAAATGAACTAAATTTAGCAGATTCAATATATTTTTATGATTGTTTTTAATTCGTTTTTGCCTAAATATTTCACTGCGATGATCATAAATCTAACGTCAGCAAACTGATTAAAAATAAGTTTTCTTATTAATTTATTAAAAAAAAGAAACGTAATTTGTTAGGAGGAGTATTTTAAATATCTGTTCTAAACATAATTTTCCGCCCCATTTTCCCTTCCTTAAGAACCCTTATTTAGACTGAATTTGACATATACCGATGGCTTTAAAGCTGCATAATTATGGTACGAATAAACCCCTTTCACAAAACCAAAGGAGCTACCTGCCCCTGCAGTTACCCCTGCTGCTTGTTTAACTCGTTTTTAATTTAAGCTTCCGACACAACACCCCCGAAATATTACGCACCGGCTTTATATATATTTTTTCCAACCCGCCCGTGTCACAGTCAGGCATAATTTTAAAGCTCTTATATGGAGTACTACGGAACTCACCCCAACCAATACCGATACCGATACCGATACCGATACCCCGATGGCCCCCGGCAGCCAATATAAATTCTTGTAATTTAATTTTGCTATTGCAAAAAAGGAAAATAAAAGAGAAGAAGGACCCACACTCAGACACACATAATCCATTTGCAGAGATGTGATATTAAACGGCAACACAGAGAGTGATGCTATCGGAGACCGCATCGCAGCCCATTGAAGCTCAGCTTCCTTGCCTCGCTCCGGGACCAAAACCAAGTCAAGTCAACCCTCGGAATAGTTGGGAAAATGCTCGGAATTCCAGAGCCAGGGAGCAGGCAATAACAGCTCAGGAATATCGGTTTCTACGGACGGGGAATGACAACATTTTGCCGCTGGCCTGTCACTGTATCGCCGCATCCGCATCTGTAGCTGGGGCCCTGTGCGTATCTGTATCTCGTATCTGTATCTGGTATCTTCCGCAGGAACAGGCGAATGAAGCCGCTCTGTGGAACGGGTCTATATACATATGTACATACTATACCATGGGTTTTCGTATGGGTTTCGGCATAGGTTTTTTCACGTATAAATGGAAACGTTTTTATATACTAGAGATGAAAAACTGCTATGTACTGCGACACAATTAGTTGGAAAGCCCCTGTTACGATTCGATGAAAAGGGAGGGTTGCTCTGTTTGCTCTGCCAGGACTTCAGCTGGAATCTGGCAGGCACATTCAGGACGAAGGAATACGAACTGCGAACTGCAAACTGCGGGCTGGGGGTCCTCATCCTGTTTACCTTGGTGCTCGGTGCGAGCAAGGACCGTGGTCTGGCAAGGCGAACAAACTGAAAAATATGTACATAAAATGGAAATGAGAGGCTTTTGTGCGATGGGCGTTTCGGTATATAAATCGACACCGAAACAGAAACCGAAACCCAAGCCGAAAACCGAAAACCTTTCTCGAATTTAAAACCCTGAAAAACGCTCAAGTGAAACGCCTACGTCGACGCAGGCAGAACGAAATGAAGCTGTGCACAGTGAATAATTTTTATTTATTTTAAATAAGTTAGAGAAATTCTAGCCAGACATTTATATATATATTATAATAATACATTTTACTTTCTAATAACTTTTAAATAGTGTAATTTCAGTAAAAATAATTGCTTTTAATTAATAAAGTAACAACAGCTCAAAGGGTAATTACTAAAAATATTATCTAAAAGTACTTAATAAACCTTTAAAACAACCACAATTATCGCCAATAAAGAATTAAATTGCATTTGTTACTACGAATTTAATTTAAATTTAATTTAATCAATTAAAAATCTTATGATATAAGTCCCTAATAATTTTGGAAATTCACGTAGTAAATATAAGTAATTAAGTATAATTTTTTTTTTTCAGTATTTTCCTTTACTTGTAATACTGAAAAAGGTAAATTTTTAAAACTATCTAGTTTTTCGCAGTGTATTTATCCAAATAAATAATTCATTTGCAAATTGGCACGCAGTTTGCTTAGTGTAACTTCCTTAAAGATAGCGGATTTGCTGCTAAGCGATGATCTAATTTCGAGCAGTGTAACCGCCAAGTGAAGATTTCAACGGCGCTTCTTCCAATTCTAATTAGTTTTTTTTTTCGTCTAAAAATACGCTCTTAGGCGAGGGCGGGGGAAGTGATACAGTACATATTTCCTCATCTGCTGCTGCGTGATAATTCAATTAGGAATGTGTGAATCAGCAACAACAACAAACAGCGAGCGGCACTGCAGCGCAGTTGCAGCGGAAATGCAGCGGAAAAGGGAGAAGGAGAGGGAGTGGAAGACGGAAAAGAACGAAGTAGAGGAAAAGAGAGGTCGAATTAAAACTGTGTGTGTGTTTCCTCAATAGAAATGCCACAGCAAAGCGGACGAAGCAGCGTGGGAAGACGGAGACGACGAGGAAGGGATAGTAGAAAGGAAAAGGAAAACCGAACCATGTCCATGTCCATTCCATGTTGCATGCAACCCTGTTTGCTTTTTTTTCTCCGGCCTGGATGTGGCAGGAACAGAAACTCGACTCGCTGCTGTTGTTGCTGCCTTTTGCTACGGCAACAAATTTGTGTGCATGTATGTATGTATACATGTATAAGCGCTGGTACATAAAAATAGCGGTCGAGGCAGCCCCGACGCCAGCAGAAGCAGCGAAGCCAACAGCAGAGACAGAGGCGCAGGCACAAGCAAAAGCAAAAGCAAAAGCAAAGGCAGAGCCAGCCGTGGTGCGGTGGAGGGGGGCAATACGGGCACTATGTGCGCAGCTTGTGCGCCTCGAAAATACATATTTCAGCATGAAGCATGGGCATGGGACATTGAGTGGCGACAACAGTGGCGTCGCAGCACAGGGGTTCACTTCAAAAACGGCGTAACGAATGAAAAATGAATGAAATTATTTTAATTTCTTTCTACTTAAAATTTAAATACCAATTCAGGATGTTAATTCTTCGTTTCATAAGAATGAGACCTGCATGATTTTCTACCTTACCAACTGCAGGAAATGGCATGGCTTTGTCAATTTGTGCTTCACTTGAAGAATATTAAAAATTTTAGGAAAATCTCATTTACTTATATAAACTGGAATGTGAAGCTTTTGAGATAATTCGAATTGATAATAATTAATAGTCAATGTTATAAATTCCTGGCTTATCCAACAAATTGTAAAAATATGAAAGGCCACCTCATAACCTCGAAACCCCCTTTAGTAACGACGCCCTTGAACTTGGGTATCTTGTATCATGCAGTTAGCTGTGCATACACAGGCACATGCGACTTTGTATGTACAATGACATGTACATGGTACATGTACAGCATTCGGTACGTATGTAGCTGCATGCGACCATGTACCTTCGAATTGGATGT